AAAATCTCTTGAATGGGAGGACAAGGGAATTAACGTCGATGGAGAATATCTCAGTAATCTCAGATTCGCTGACGACGTTTCTGATTCGTTATTATCTCAGACGATTTAGGAAAAATAAGAAATATGTTAAGAGAACTACACGCAGCGGCAAAGAAGTGGGTCTTAGTATAAACTTTATACGTATAAAACAAAATTAATGACAAATTTAGTTCCCAGTAAAAACATAGAAATAAACGGAACAAACATAGAAACAGCAGAAAAGTATGCGTATCTRRSTCATGAAATCAATATTGGCAGGGATAACCAGACGAACGAGCTTCAAAGGAGAATCTCCCTGGGATGGGCTGCTTTTGGACAGCTACGAAACGTCSTTAAAAGTGATATGCCTATCAGTCTAAAACGAGAAACTTTTAACAYATGCATACTACCGGTGRTCAAATACGGAGCAGAAACTCTCACACTGACAAGGGCAACMATACCAAAATTACAGGTAGCACAAAGAAAAATGGAGARAGCATCGATAGGCATGAGCCTGAGGGGGCAGAGTCCTAAACGAGGATTTGAGACGCATAACGGGAGTCCAAGACATGATGCTGTGGCTACATGTGGCTGGAACAACTTGCGGGATTACTGGAATGGAGACCTCGGGATGACAAGAGGAGTGTAGGGAGACCGCCAGACTGATGGACGAATGATTTGAAGCGAATATCCACAAACTGGATCGGAACCGCGCAAGATAGAGAAAAATGGAAAACACTTGAGGAGGCTTATGTCCAGCAGTGGACGTTGAGAGGCTGATGATGATGTAAGATACACAGGACACCAGAACACATTAAATCTCTGATCTTCCGAACCCCGGTACAAATTGAGCAGGAGTTAATTAGCCGAATTCGAGACGAGAGGATGGGCATTTTAAACTGAGGACTTTAAATGGACAGAACTTCGAACACTTCTGGCGATTTAACAACTCAATTGAAGAGTACAAGAGAAAAGAAGGAATGTCACATTTTATACATTTTGAGATAAAGAAGATAAAAGGTTTAATTCTTGCGCAACGTGAAGACTACTTAGCAGGATTGTTTACTTTTTAGACATAAGGTTTTTTATACGCGGCGGGCGTCAATTTGAAAACTTCCCATCCTTAATAACTTTCTTGCAATTAAAACTTTGAAAAATCGGAAAGACCCGTAAATTTTATTTGTTAGGGGGACATTTTAAATTAATATTTTTAGCCTCCTAGTTTCAATCCCCCAGGAGGAGTAGATGTCACCCTTGGAATCTTAAATGTGGCTCATCGTTTTAGAGAGCGTCCAATTATCTTTACATTGGTTACTACTTTGTCCACAGGTTTCCGAATAATCGCGTTTCATATCCTATATGGCTAATGCAGTCGATAGTCCTCAGTTTTTACTAACAGAATGCGCGGTAAGCCAGAATTCATAAAAAAGTGACAATCCTTGTTTTCCCTTGTACCTTTCAATTTTATTTCATCATGTATTGACCATGGATACATAACCTTTAACAGGAGGTTTCTGTTGCCCCAAGGATGTTGGCAGCACTGACGGAAAGCAACAACGTTATGCTAACCTCAAAATATTGAATCGTAATTTCAGTTTGTTTGTGTTGTGTTTACCCATGGTTACTACAATCTTTAATAATTAAGAAGCAACAGATATTTACGTAATGTTAATTAAGCAAAAGGAAAAACACTGTTGCCGTCCTTCTGATATAGATTTTTGCAAATTTCTCAGTTTTTAAAAACCATCTTTCTTTTTCTATACCCGAAAATACCCCCAGACAACACGTCCAGAGGAATGACGCCAATTTTAAATCACCTTGTATACTTATTTCCAAACAAAACCCTGTATATCACCAAAATTTAAATTGTAATTATTTGCTAATTTGAGTCGCGTGTGTGAAGCAGAAAAAAACCGTCTTATGCATGAATATTTGACTGCGACCCTCTTGAACCGAAGTGAAAATCGGAATTAACACATCAGGGGAAATTTTTTGTATTTAAATATTTATCAGCGCTAAAACCGCCCCAAGCTGAATATTTAGCAAGCAGGCCAAACTGACTATATTTTACTCTGGCCTATTTTTACGAATTTTCTTCGAGAGACTAATTATAGACCGAGGGAGGTTCACATGCAATATCTAAATTATGTCGACTGTAGACTTGATAACAATTAGTCACTTAGCACGTTATTTCCTTTAACACCCTGGCCGGCTGATGAATTGATACTTCCATGCGATAGATTTTTTTGCGGTAGATTCAACTATTCTACAACACCACACGTAAACAATCCCTCGTTTCGAAAAAACTAGCAGATTTTCGCAAGTTTGGTAAATTTTCCCCCTAAAAGTCTTAAAAAACCTGATGAACGAGCGCTAATTTTGAAACGAAGGATTCCATGACTGCATTCAACACGAAGATTGTTCGTAGTCACTTTGCTATGTTGGATAAACCAGTAAAACTGTTCCCGTTCCTAAACATACTCTAGAGAACCTTTCTTTTCTTTAAGATTTCCTCAAGCATGATGGTCGCCTGCTCTAAGTGTTGTTGGTGAGTCCGCGCTTTGCATGCTGTTTGTGCCATCTGTGTTTTTTACATTTTAACCGTAATTTTTTAATTTTCCATTAATCATCGAGCAAAAGTAGTTAGGCAAGATAGGTCGCTTTTCCACAATGCGAGTAAATGGGTGTCCAGCACATATTTTACACTAGAAGTAGACGAATGTGAGATGTGCCAAATATATAGAGTGGTTTTTTATTTCTATCGAAGCTCGAAAAACTTACTTAAAACGACTTTCCATTTAGCGATTAAAAAGTCACTGTCTTTGAAATTAAAAATTCGTAACTTTCAACCTGGAGCAAGTTCCATCTTTCGCTCAATTTCGCAGTCCATGGAACAGACTTGAGTCTCAAAAGTGTGAAAATTGTATTCAGTCTTAAAACGCTGCTAATTTCATTAAAATATCATGGAATCGCTACTTTTAACCACTTTCACTTCACTGTTCTTACGCAACTGCATTGTTCCCTTTAAAAATTCGTAACTTCCGATCCAAAGTAAACATCAACTTGCATATACTGCATGGCGTACTATAAAAGCTCGAAATTTCTGATTTAGGAAAACTGATATTTGCCAATTTTTGCAAATTCTGGTCCAAAAACGCAGATGTTCACGCATTTTCTTGGTCATTTGTTAAAATTCATAATTTTTAAACAAAAACAATCACAAACTTGAGATTTTCACAGAGTATAGAAAGTATCCTAAACTATACCCTCTGAAATTTTAATTTCAATCCGTGCGAATCCTGATTTTTTTCAACGTTGCAAATATTGGTTCAAAAACGACGATTTTCAAGCAACTCCTAAGCTTTTGTCAAAAATTCATAATTAAAAAAAGCATTCAGCAACTTTATATTTTCAGTGTATAGAAAGTACCTATATGAAGATGAAAGCCCTGAACTCCATTTAAATGGCGCCGAATTCTGATTTTTGTCAATTTATTGCTTAAACAACGGTTTTCGCGCAATTATTTGATCTTCCATTAAAATTCACAATTTTTAAATAAATGCAAGCACAGTTGATATTTTCATAGAGTATAGAAAGTATTCGAAACTAAAACCTCTAAAATTTTGATTGAAATCGCACCAAATCGTAATTTTTGTCAACGTTGTAAATGTTGGTTTAAAAACGACGATTATCAAGCAACTGCAGAGCTTTTTTGAAAAATTCATAACTTTTAAACAAAAGCAGACAGTAACGTGAAATTTTCAACGTACATAGGAAACATTTAACTCTAACTAAAACCTGTAGAACGAATTCTGATTGCTCTGACCCATTGAGTAAATTGACCCAAAAAGAAACATTTCCACACAATCGGCTTGCACAATTCCTAAACTACCTTAACTCACACACGTTTTTTGCATGATTCTCTCTCTATAAAACGACCCCGACTTTAAATATCTGACCTAAGCGATGTTGAGCCGAATTTCAAATCCGTTAAACTGAAAAATTCTTAAAATCACTAAACAAATTTTTGACAACTTGTAAAACTTTAGGCCAAAAGCCACTGTTATCACCCTACTGCATGGCGTCCTTTAAAAATTCGTAACTTCTCATCCAGGAAAACTTTCAACTTGAAATTTCCGTATTCTCTRAAAGACATTTGAGTCTGAAAACTTTTTTAATTTTAATAAAATGTCGTCGATTGGCGATTTTTGAAACTTGYCAAGTTTTGTCCCAAAAAATCACTCTTTTGTGCAACTTCATGGTTTCCTTTAAAACATYGTAACTTCGAATTCAGAACAAACATCAACTTGAAATTTCTACAGCCTCCAGAAGACATTTTCATTTCAAAACCCTCATAATTTCATTGAAATACCTCCGAATCCTGAATTTTGACAACTTTTCAAAATCTGGCCCCAAAATCACTGTTTTCACGCTGCTGCATGGCGTCCTATTAAAGCTCGTAACTTCTAATTCAGGAAATCTTTCCTCATATGAGTGTAAAAACTCGCTTAATTCATTAAAATTTCTATCAAATGGCGATTTTTTAAACTTGGCAAAAAAAATTCAATCCCGCTGAATCCTGTTTGCCAATTTTTGCAAATTCTGGTCCAAAAACGCAATTTTCACKCATTTTCGTTGTCATTTGTTTAAATTCACAATTTTTAAATAAATGCAAGAACAACTTGATATTTCACAGAGTATAGAAGGTATCCGAAAATAAAACCTCTGAAATTTTCGTTTAAATCGCACCGAGTCCTGATTTTTGCCAACCTTGCAAATTTTGGTTTAAAAACGACGGTTTTTAAGCAGCTGTGGGACTTTCTTCAACAATTCATAACTTTTAAACAAACGCAGTTAGCAACTTTATATTTTCAGTCTATAGAAAGTATATGAATCTTAAAGCCCTGAAAACTTCATTTAAATGGCGCCAAATCCTGATTTTTTACCACTTTATTACACAATTTTTAAATAAATGCAAGCACAAACTTGATATTTTCACAGAGTATAGAAAGTATCCGAAACCAAAACTTCTGAAAGTATGATTGACCTCGCAACGAATCCTGATTTTTGTAAACGTTGTAAAACTTGGTTTAAAAACGACGATTTTCAAGCAACTGTAGAGGTTTTTTCAGAAATTCATAACTTTTAAACAAAAGCAAACAATAATGTGAAATTTTCAACGTACATAGGAAACATTCAACTCAGAAAATCTGTAGAAACCTGTTCTGACCCATTGAGTAAATTGACCTAAAAAGAAAAACTTCCACACATTCGGCTTGCACAGTTCCTAAGCTACCTTGACTCACACGTTTTCTGCATGATTCTCTATAAATCCACGACAGCGCTGCTGAGCCGAATTTCAAATCCGTTAAACTGAAAAATTCTTAAAATCACTGAAAAAATTTTTGACATCTTTTGAAACTCCATAGTCCAAAAGTCACTGTTATCACGCTACTGCATGACGTCCTTTAAAAATTCGTAACTTCTGATTCAGGAAAACTTTCAACTTGAAATTTTCGTAATTTCTAAAAGACATTTGAGTCTGGAAACTCTACTAATTTCATTAAAAAGTCATCGAATGGCGATGTTTTAAAAGTTGTCCGGAAATCAGTTTTTATGCAACTGCGTGATTTCCGTCAAAAAATCAGGACTTCCGATCCAGGGCAAACATCATCTTCAAATTTTCACAGTAGGTATAGAGAAGACACCTGATTCTAAACTCCCTGAGAAATCCATTCAATTCGGACCAAATTTTGATTTAGGCTACATTTTCAAAGCCTAGGTGAGTATTTGTTGAACATTTCGTTTGCGCTTAATATACGAGTACCATTTGCAAAGAGCTTAAATTCCACTAAAACAAAAAGTGCTACGTCTAATGCAAAATTTTGAAATTTCAGTATCGCCTGGAGGGTCTGTTCAGCCGCGGCCGTTGGGGTCGCGTCAAAAAGGGCCCCCTGGCAACCCCCCTCGAGGACATCTTCAAGCGCAAGCCTCGAGCACGTGTCAAGGACGATCCCTGCTGAGAGTTACTCTCTTCAGTGCCCGCGTACCCCCCAGAAACGTTAGTTTAGCGCCCGGACTAAACCGCCCCGCCCTATTCAGTGCAGTGACAGTATCGGAAACGGTACTTTTCCTCCATCAAGTGCTCCATATGGACAAAACATTATTACGTTGGCTTGTCAGCATGATGTCAAACAATCAAGTGTCCAAAAACGCCTTTTGAAAAGCTGAATTTTCATCACAGAACAGATAAGCCCGGACTAAACGCGCCCCATAGTTTAAGTTTCATTCATTCAGTAAACAAGGACAAAGCGTGGAAAAATGAGAGAATTTAAAAGAAATAAGAGTACAAGCACCAAGACAATTAGTGAAAAAATTGTTTGCTTTTTGGAACGCATTCGACTGTTTCTTGGAAAAACACTCAGAGCCGCCTAAAATTGCCATTGATTTTGGCTAAGCCTCCCTTGAAAAAGTCCGCACTAATATAGATAAAGCATAGTGATGATTATTTTCACCCAATGTATCGATACGCTTATAGTGCTTTAAAAACGAATTTAAATTAGCGTTAAGCTAGAAATCCAGAGAAAAGTTTCCCACTGTACATTGCGTTGAATTGATTTTTTTCGTAGAAGGACCCATATACTTGAACAACAATATCTACTATAAATAGCCGATAGGAGGCACTACTAACATGTACCTACCCACAATGTAAAATAATATTTTTTACTCAAAACCTAGATTAGTTCTTAGACTGGTTGGATATTCTGCACATTTGTTACGCATCAACGAAATCTGTCCATTTTCAATGAATATCAAGGAAGTTTTCGCTGTTCCAGAACATGTTCTTGCAACGTATGCATGATGGACTTTCAACAGATGAAGGGTTTCGTTAACAATGTTAGCTATTTGCACTTGATTGTTGCGTTCGATTCGAGACTATTTTGAGCCCAAAAATCATCTGCTGCAAGTCCAAACTTGTTGTGAATTAAACACTTCACCGTATATGCTTTTGTACATAATTTACGAGATTGTGAGACTGCTAGTTACGCCTTGTTTGGAATGTGTGAGAATGCGAGAAAATAATTTGGAGTTGTGGAGTTATATCTACCGATTCGAATACAACTCAGGAAAGCAAATTATAGGCGAGATCTTTAATTTTAGCGCAAGCAGCAACTTGAAATGTCCACCGTATGTAGAAGACACCTCGGTCGGAAAATCGTCATCATTTCATTCAAATCTCACTGAATCGTGATTTTTGCCAAGGCTCCAAACATTGGCTGCAAAAATGACTGTTCTCACAAAGCTGCAGAAAAATTCATCACTTGTAAACAAATTCAAGCAGAATCTTGTAATTGACAAAGTATTTGTGCTCTATGCACACTTCAATCAAGAAACTTTGATAATTTGATTCAAATTGCAATAAATTGGGATTTGTACCAAGGTTGCAAAGTTGAAAATCGACAATTTTCAAGGAACTACAGAGTTTTTCATATAAAATTAGTAACTTTTAAACCAAAGCAATCAGTAACTTGATATTTGCGCAGTATCATGAAAGTATATGAATATTATAACTTCATTTAACTCGCCCTAAATCCCGATTTTTGCCAATTTATTGCAATAACGGGTTTCACACATTTCCTTGGCATTTTGTTAAACTTCACAATTTTTAAATAAATGCAAGCACAAACTTGATATTTTCACAGAGTATAGAAAGTATGCGAAACTAAAACCTCTGAAATTTTCATTTAAATCCACCGAATACTGATTTTTGTCAATGTTGAGAATGTTGGTTTAAAAAGGACTGTTTTCAAGCAGTTGCAGAACTTTGTTAAAAAATTCATAACATCTAAACAAAAGCATTCAGCAATTTAATATTTTCACAGTCTAAATAAAGTATGTATATCAAGCTGAAAGTCCTGAAAACTTTATTTAAATGAAGGCGAATCCTGATGTTTACCAATTTATTGCAAAAACGACGGTTTTCGCGCATTTTCTTGGTCTTTTGTTAAACTTCTTCACAATTTTTTCATAAATAAAAACAAACTTGATATTTTCACAGAATATAGAAAGTATCCGAAACTAAAACTTCTGAAATTATAATTTAAATTGCATCAAATCCTGATTTTTGTCAACGTTGCAAATGTTGGTTTAACAAGGACGGTTTCCAAGCAGCTGCAGAGCTTTTTTCAAAACTTCATAACTTTTAAGCAAAAGTCTTCAGCAACTTTATATGTTCACAGTCTATAGAAAGTATATGAAGCTGAAAGCCCTGAAAACTTCATTTAAATTTCGCCGAATCCTGCTTTTTCCCATTTTATTGCAAAAAAGATGGTTTTCACGCATTTTCTTAGTCTTTTATTAAAATGTATAATTTTTAAACAAATACAAGCAGAAACTTGATATTTTCCCAGTCTAAAGGTGTATGAAACTAGAACCTCTGAAATTTTCATTTAAAACGCACGGAATTCTGATTTATATCAACGTTGCAAAAGCTTTTTCCAAAAATTCATAACTCTTAAACAAGTGCAGGCAGTACCTTGAAATTTTCACAGTACATAGAAAACACTGAACTCAGAACACCTCCATAATTTCTTGGTTTTGCTGGCCCATTGAGTAAATTGACCAAAAAATAAACATTTCCACACAAGTGCATTATCGGCTTGCACAATTCCTCGCTTATCTTAACCAAATACTATAGTCTATAGTATTTGCCTTGACTCACACACGTTATATGCTTGATTCTCCATAAAACGGCTTTAAATAATCGATCTGAGCGTTGCTGAGCCGAATTTCAAATCCGTTAAAGTGAAAAATCCTTAAAATCACGAAGCGCTCGCCAAATTGAGACTTTAGTGTACATAATGAGCTTACTTAATTCAATAGAGTGCCTCGCCTAATAGAGTTTGGTCTTTTACATAAGAGAAAAACTAAACTAGTCCTTAAGTATGTCCAAAGTTCGTACTATTTAGAGCCTGCAAGTACCAAAACATCAGTGGATCGAAACTCGTTGGAGATTATGTTCGCTTGGGGTACTGTTTGGTCATCGAGTTGAACTCAAAGATCTTATTAAGAAAGCTTCCCAATTTTAAATTCCGCAATCTAGAGCGAGATGTTTAGATTTTACATACTTATTGTTACCGACTATTAGTGCTAATTCATGTACAAGATGATGTATATATTCATTTAATAAAGGTATTGTTAGAAAAACTGGGTCGGGTTTGTTTGTTTTGCTTCTGTGGCAGCGCTCATCCCATCATTTATATTATAAGAGGCAACGAGAAAGTATTAATATTTCATACGTGTAGTATTCTCAAAGGAACACAAGATCAGACGGATTTCCTGGAAAATATATGGCCCGGATTACTACCGAGTAACTTAATTATTTATCCTGAGGTCTTCAGTTTTCGCTAAACAAATCCCTACATAGAGCGCTCCGCGTCTTATAATTTATTGCCCCTTGAATTTTCAGGAATTAATGGATTATATAACTGCTAGGCAATTAGTTTTCAATTCGACTTGACGACTGAGAGTTGCATGCGGGACTAAATTGACACTCCGTTTTGCAAAAATGTATTTTGCCCAAACCAGTTGAGATGAAACAACGATTTTTATGAAGAGATTTTATGAGAAGATAGAGAAAACTTCACTGGTTCGCCGACTCAATGTTTGATGGCCCTGCAGGTCTCGGCTAATTTTTGAGGTTCTAATACTCAAAGTGAACCCTGCAAGGACTTTTGCGATAAATGTATCCGCCGTATTTCAACTATTTACAAACAAACCAGCTTATAGTAAAGAGCGGCTTTTACGACAACCAATAGAACAAACTGCTCTCTATGTTTTCCGAAAGTTTAATTTTTCGGGATGGTTGGGCTAACTTTTGACAATTACTCAACGTGAGACTTGCAAGGATTTTTGAGGCTAACCGCAACTGCAGTTTTTCAGTATTTTTGGGTCTATATGGGTTTTGCAACGAAACCAGCTAATATTAAAGCGCGCTTTTTGCGGCACTAAATAGAACAAACTGCACTCAATGTTTACTCAGAGTTCGATTTTTCAGCATATTTGGGCTAAATTTTGACAAATACCCAAAGTGAGATTTGCAAGTTTTGCGCATAAATTTACCCGCCGCCTATCAACATTTTTTTGCTACCAAACCAGTTAATATTAARAAGCGCTTTTTTCKGCAACAAATAGAAGAAACTAAACTTTATGTTTTCTCAAAATTTAATTTTTCTGGACTTTTGGGCTAMATTTTKACCAGTACTCAAAGTGAGACTTGCGAGGAGTTTTGCGACCAAATTTTCYCGRCGTCTTTCAACATTGTTTTGCAACGAAACCAGCTAATATTAAARAGCGCCTTTTGCGGCAGTAAATAGAAGAAACTGCTAGCTAGGTTTCTTCAAAATTTAATTTTCCTGGATTTTTGGGATAAATTTTGACAATTACTCAAAGTGAGACTTGCAAGGACTTTCTTTTTTCAATATTTTTTTCTACCAAACCAGATAATATAAAAAAGCGTTTTTGCGACAACAAATAGAGCAAGCTGCACCCTATGTTACCTCAAAGTTTGATTTTCCCGGATATTTGAGCTGAACTTTGACTTGCAAGGACTTTTGCAGCTAACCGCACCTGCAGTTTTTCTATATTTTTTTACGAATAAACCAGTTAATATTAAAAAGTTCTTTTTGCGGCAACAAATAGAAAAAACTGAACTTTATGTTCCCCCAAAATTTAATTTTCCTGTATGTATAGGCTAAATTTTGACAAATACTCAAAGTGAGATTTGCAAGTTTTGCGCCTAAATTTACCCGCCCTCTATCAACATTTTTTTGCAACCAAACCAGTCAATATTAAAAATATCTTTATGCGGCAACAAATAGAACAAACTAAACTTTAGGTTTCCTCAAACTTTAATTTTCCTGGATGTATGGGGTAAATTTTGACAAATACTCAAGTGAGACTTGCAAGGAGTTTTGCGACCAAATTTTCCCGACGCCTTTCAACATTGTTTTGCAACGAAACCAACTAATATTAAAGCGCGCCTTTTGCGGCACTAAATAGAACAAACTGCTCTCTAGGTTTCGTCAAAATKTCATTTTCCTGGMTGKTTGGGTTAAATTTTGACAATTCCTCAAAGTAAGACTTGCAAGGACTKTTGCGGCAAACCGCACCGRCCTTTTTTCAAWGTTTTTTTACGACCAAATTAGATAATATTAAAAAGCGTTTTTTGCGACAACAAATAGAGCAAGCTGCACTCTATGTTACCTCAAAGTTTGATTTTCCCGGATATTTGAGCTGAATTTTGACAAATACTCAAAGTGAGACTTGCAAGGACTTTTGCAGCTAACCGCACCTGCAGTTTTTATAATTTTTTTCTAATAAATCAGTTAATATTAAAAAGCTCTTTTTGCGGCATTAAATAGAAAAAACTGCACTTTATGTTCCCCCAAAATTTAATTTTCCTGTATGTATAGGCTAAATTTTGACAAATACTCAAAGTGAGATTTGCAAGTTTTGCGCCTAAATTTACCCGCCCTCTATCAACATTTTTTTGCAACCAAACCAGTCAATATTAAAAATCTCTTTATGCGGCAACAAATAGAACAAACTAAACTTTATGTTTCCTCAAACTTTAATTTTCCTGGATGTATGGGCTAAATTTTGACAAATACTCAAGTGAGACGTGCAAGGAGTTTTGCGACCAAATTTTCCCGACGTCTTTCAACATTGTTTTGCAACGAAACCAGCTAATATTAAAGCGCGCCTTTTGCGGCACTAAATAGAACAAACTGCTCTCTAGGTTTCTTCAAAATTTCATTTTCCTGGAATTTTGGCATAAATTTTGACAATTACTCAGTCAGACTTGCAAGGACTTTTGCGGTAAACCGCACCGGACTTTTTTCCTAAATTTTTTTATGACCAGACCAGATAAGATTAAAAAGCGTTTTTTGTGACAACAAATGGAGCAAACTACACTCTACGTTTCATCAAATTTTTATTTTTCTGGATGTTTGGGATAAATTTTGACAATTACTCAAAGTGAGACTTGCAACGGCTTTTGCGGCTAAGCGCACCGGCCGTTTTTCAATATTTTCTTGTGACTAAACCAGTCAATATTAAAAAGCACTTTTCGCGGCAACAAATAGAACAAACTGCACTCAATGCTTACTCAAAGTTCGATTTTTCTGCAAATTTGGGTAAAATTTTGACAAATAAACAAATTGAGTTTTGCAAGTTTTGCGCCTAAATTTACCCGCCCTCTATCAACATTTTTTTGCAACCAAACCAGTCAATATTAAAAAGCTCTTTTTGCGGCAACAAATAGAACAAACTAAACTTTATGTTTCCTCGACATGTAATTTTCCGGGACTTTTGGGCTAAATTTTGACCAGTACTCAAAGTGAGACTTGCGAGGAGTTTTGCGACCAAATTTTCCCGACGTCTTTCAACATTGTTTTGCAACGAAACCAGCTAATATTAAAAAGCGCCTTTTGTGGTGGTAAATAGAATAAACTGCTCTCTAGGTTTCGTCAAAATTTCATTTTCCTGGATGTTTGGGTTAAATTTTGACAATTACTCAAAGTAAGACTTGCAAGGACTTTTGCGGCAAACCGCACCGGCCTTTTTTCTATTTTTTTGTTACGACCAAACTAGATAATATTAAAAAGCGTTTTTTGCGACAACAAATAGAGCAAGCTGCACTCTATGTTACCTTAAAGTTTGATTTTCCCGGATATTTGAGCCGAATTTTGACAAATACTCAAAGTGAGACTTGCAAGGACTTTTGCAGCTAACCGCACCTGCAGTTTTTATTTAATTTTTTTTTCAAATAAATCAGTTAATATTAAAAAGCTCTTTTTGCGGCAACAAATAGAAAATACTGCACTGTATGTTTCCTCAAAATTTAATTTCCCTGGATGTATGGGCTAAATTTTGACAATTACTCGAATTGAGACTTGCAAAGAGTTTTGCACCTAAACGCACACGCCGTTTTTCAGTATTTTTTTACGACTAAACCAGTTAATATTAAAAAGCGCTTTTTGCGGCAACAAATAGAACAAACTGCACTCAATACTTACTCAGAGTTCGATTTTTCTACCTATTTGGGTTAAATTTTGAGAAATACTCAAAGTGAGATTTGCTAGTTTTGCGCCTAAATTTACCGGCCGTCTATCAACATTTTTTGTGACCAAACCAGTTAATATTAAAAACTCTTTTTGGGGCAACAAATAGAACAAACTAAACTTTATGTTTCCTCAAAATTTAATTTTCCAGAGTTTTGGGCTAAATTTTTACCAGTACTCAATGTGAGACTTGCAAGAAGTTTTGCAGCTAAATTTACCCGACGTATTTCAACAATTTTTAGTGAGCAAACCAGATAATATTAAAGAGCGCCCTTTGCGGTCTTAAATACAACAAACTGCAGTCTATGTTATCTCAAAATTTTATGTTCCTGGACGATTGGGATAAATTTTGACAAAAACTCAAAGTGAGACTTGCAAGAACTTTTGCCGCAAACCGCCAGTTAAAATTAAAAAGCTCTTTTGCGACAACAAATAGACCAAACTGCACTCTATATTTCCTCAAAATTTTATTTTCCTGGAGGTATGGGCTTAAGTATGACAATTACTCAAGGTGAGACTTGCGAGGAGTTTGGCAGCTAAACGCACACGCCGTTGTTCAAAAATTCTTTGCGTCCAAACCGGTTGCAATTGAAAAGTTGCTTACCTTTAGTTCGTCGGATTCCAGATGAACCACGCAGTCCAAGTTGCATCCTCCAATAATAACCTGCAAAAAAGTATGAACGTTACTTTCTAAGTTCGTATGTTTTTGAAAAAATGTATAATTGGAAACCAGGGTCAAATGAAAATGTTCGACACCGAAGTCCAAAAAAGCAAATCGAGTGAAAATTTCAAACCATTTAAACCCCACCCCTATCTCATCTGCCTCGACGGAAACATTCCTCAAATTAATAAATTGATGTAATAAGTTCGGGAGCAAACTTTCTGGACAAATACCCACGCCTTGTCGCTTCCCTCGTAAAAAACTTTAATTTCCGTTGCTTCAGAATCCAGCCTGGAAACCGGCTCATCAATCATCGGCACTTTCAAGGAGTTAATCGGCGTTATAATTGTGCGCATCAATTTCGTTAATCACTCTTCCAGGTTCGGGAATGAATGGGGCGCTCCGCTTAGTGCAAAGGTCTGGATACACGTGAGATGGCGATATTAAATTAGTTAAGGATCTGCCGGGAGTTCGGTTGTAAACATGACGAGTTTGTTAAGATTGATAACGTTTCTAGCTTAGAGTCGTAAAACACTCAGGGCGAATTGTATTAACTCACCATTACTATGACGAACGCCTGGCATAAACTCAAGGAAGATAATAATGTAGGTACTTACGGGCCGTTTGCTCGAGGGCAGCTTCTCCTCTGGTTTGGTGTCTTCTTCGTTTCTTTCCAGATGCGCTAAACAGACGGCAATCTCTGCTGCAGTTTTTGCGTTGTTCTTTATTAGCGCAATATCTAGACGCAATTTAAGGCCAAAACATCATAAAACAATATCAATGCTTGCACCTTCCAAAATGAAGCAGATAGGTACGTTTTTCGAGCCTTCAGGCCGCCGTTCAAAAAATTCGTATCCACAGCGGCCAAAAAGCCCGGAAAACTGATCAGTTTCAAGAAATTACCTCAAAAATCTCCTTTGCTAACCATCTAAAAGCTGTAAATATTTAAAAACGCCCTATAAGATGTCTCAGACCTTTTCTATGGTGCAAAAATAACGTTTTGCTCTGCTTCCTAAAAAGGATACTAGTTTTCAACGAGCTGCCCCCCGACATCCCAGCGATCTGCTCCAAAAGAAAGGGCGTGATGTTTTTACCACTTATGCCTGCCTTATGGGCTTCCACTAATGCGTCGTCGATAATTCGGTTAATTGATTCTGGATCAAAAGCATAAGGCTCTGGAACAGGCACTCCAAACAACAAGCCTACGACAAAAAAGTCTATTAGTCCATTAAGGCCGTAAAAACTAGCAAATGTAGTATTTCAAAATGATGAAAATTTACTTCAAAAGCAAACTTCGCTATCTGAAAGCTGCGACTTTAAAACTTACAGAAAAATGCGCAAAGCGATGATTCTGAAAATTGTTAATTTTCAAATTTTCACTACCTGATTCAAGGTGCATGTCTTTGTGAGCTTTGATGATTTCGGCTGCAGCCGAAGCAGTTTCAACACAGTATGGGGCTTTGTGAGCGCTCAAGCGACTGTAGAAAGCTGGAAACGCTGCGGTTGGGCCAAGGGTTGCAACCAAAACCCCCTGTGTTTCCTGAATTAAGAAAAGAATAAGTCTAATTATCTACTTTATCTACACTTCATATTACCAAGTATTCCAGCGTCTTCGCTATGTCCAAGATCGATTTAACGCCGCTGGAAACAACCGCAACATTACAACGTCCCAATTCAGTTAAATCAGCGGAAATATCAAACGTTTCGCTTGCTCCGCGATGGACACCACCAATCCCTATTACACAGTGAAAGACACAATTAGCTCAAACCATTGAACTAAACCTGATATTTTACCTCCAGTTGCAAAAATTCGTATACCAACCTGGTTGCAAACAACCAGGGTGCCAGCCACGGTGGTGCCGCCGTTGAGTTTATTGCTCAGAACATACGGAAAATCTCTGCGGGAGGTTTTCACTGGGCGGCTAATCTTCGTGTCGCCCAAAATCTCAATTTCCCTCTTACATAGACCCACTTTAACAGCTCCATTTACTAGGGCGATTGTTGCTGGAACCGCATTCTGAGCCAATCGAACATTAGATAATCAACAATTTAGGATGTTTAGTTTCTTCCTCACCTGGCTTCGAACCGCCTCCTCCACCTCCAAAGCGCACTCAACATTTTGAGGAAACGGCATCCCATGAGTGATAATTGTCGATTCCAGCGCAACCACCGGCCTGTTGAGCCTCAATGCCTCAGTCACCTCATCACTCACCTCAAGGAAGTGATTTCTTCGCGAAAACAAACGAGCACCCGATTTTAATGCCAAGCGAGGAACTAGTTGGAGCATTTTTCGAAAAAACAACAGGCGTTTCCGACGCGAAATCGAGCCGACTATCGAAATCCAGGTCAACTAACCGGTTATCAAGCATTTGAATTCAAGTGATTAATGCGAGTGTGCTCAGTATCAGCTGAGATTAAAAAGGACTGCAGGATTTTGAGGGAAACAAGCGTTTTCTTCATTTTGATTTACTCGAACGGGCGCCGGAACAAAGCCGCTACAAACCGGTTTATAAATAAACCAAATTCTACTTGCATTTAAAATGTTTACGCTTCAGTGAATTTCGGATGGCCAAATATTCATGTTTGTAAATATGGTTGATTAATTTTTGCGTGGGATGGGAAAATGATTTTAAATTTATTTTGATGGTTTTTGAAACATTTTTACTTAATGAAATCTAGTGAAATTTTTCATGTGGATTTCAATTCAATAAATGTTTATTAAATGGAACACGAATTAATTGAAACATTGAATTTTGCAAATATCGCAGTTTTTTGTGACAAAAATGTAACTTTTGTGCGTCCTAAACGCTTCCATACAATGCTTTGTAAGAATAACGCTATAACGTCAACCATTATCATTTTAAATACACAAATCCCCCGAATATATACATAATACAATATGTTTTATCTTTAAACAAATGTGTGGCCAAAAACAACCCACAACGACCTTTGCTCTAAGCTTGCCCATAAACCTAAAAACTCTTAAATAACGAATACTTAAGTCAAATAATTGATTGAATCACTAGTAACATTCTCCTCTAAGTAGAGTTAAACGGGAACAGCCCCAGAGCCGGTAACTCGAGACTCAAGCTTCCGTCATTCGCCCCTAAATCGGACTCGGTTATTCGGCGAAACCGCTCATTAACAAACTGATCCACATTCATCACTTCGTCCGAACCGCTCGAGTTGTCCAAAATGCCTGTTTCATCCGTGACGGGCAGCATCAGTTCATCAACTCCATGATGCAGGTTTGGAATTGGCAAAAGCACCGAATTATCTATCAGCAAGTCTGTGTTTAGAAGATATTTACTAGGCGACGTTTCGCTGTGGAAATTCGACTGCGGTAGTTTGGGGTTTGGCGGACAGAGGAGAATATTCGACTGGATTTTGATCTTGGGGCTTTTGGGCGACTTTTTCAGCTCCTCCAAATTATCATCATTGCCCCCATAACTCATGGAGAAACTGTTATAATCCCCAATATCCGGAAATAACTTGGCTTCGCCTTTAACACTTAAATCAGTCTTGTAGTTTACAGCTTCAGGCCGCGGTTTGCTCTCATGAGCGATTTTCTCTTCAGATGGATCCAAGCCAGACTTCATTTCATAGTCGCTCAAACTTGAATAAACGTCGTCCGACAAAAAAAACTGCTGCTCTCCAAACTTATCGCCTGCCTTTTCCAGCTCTGGCACAGTGTCGTTGTTCCCTATATTGATGCTGTCTATTTTCTTCACTATTTCATCATTAGCTTCAATTGAAGGCGCAATTGAAGGCACCACTTCTCTAGATTTGCCGCATTTGCAATTCACCTCAGGCGAACGCGCAATATTCTCCTGCGACTTGGATCTGATCGAATTTAAAAAGTCCGTGTTACTCATCAACTTCAACACCGTGACGTCTTTGTACAAATTGTTGTCATCAAAATAATAAGTCCCAGGCGCTAAACCAATGGCATTGCCCAGGACCTTATCCACCTTAACCTCATTGGAGGCATTGCCCAACTTTTTAAAGAGCGCATTGGTCAACAGCAACAAATTGTGTAGGAGATTGGAGAGTTCCTGGCACAACTTCGGGCCCCGCTCCGATGAAGGGCACTTTTGCGTTATGGAAACTAAATAATTCCAGACCTCAAAATGGTTTCCTTCGCTTTCATTCATTGGGCCGTGTGTGGGGTTTTTCTTCAAGTGTTCCAATATTTTGCTGCGTCCCATATAAGCCTTCTGACATTTGGGGCAGCGGTATTGGGAAGCTATTCGCCTCTTTTTCTGCACAGAGTCCAAAACTGTCGGCTTCTCCTCTATAACTTCCGGCTTGTCCTTTGATTTGTCCGCTTCAGTGTATTTAACAAAGTCCGCCGTTTCGATTTCTGAGTCGTTTGTTACATTGTCATCAGTCACAATTTTTTTGAAGTCCTAAAATGGCAATATATGCACTATAAGCAGAACAACGTAAATTTTTTAAAACTGTTGGTTTTCGGGGTATCGGAAGCCGACGTCCGGAGGCGTCCACACTAAAGTGTAATCGCCTCTGAAGATATTAGCCATACATATTAGCGAAACGTTAGGGCCGAATTCCAACAGACGACGGCTTAACAACCCGGAGAGAGCAGTTTTTCAATTCTATGTAATGTCTGAACTATTGTACATTACCTACATTTTGAATGTGCTTTGGAAATTTCACTTCCCTACCGGACCGAGTCTTTGCCACCACCTGCACTTTGCTCTTTTGACTCGGTTGATTCAACTCTATGTGGGTTAGTTGCGGGATTTTCGCTTTCTTTGGCCTGCCCACTCGACTTTTGGATTTTTGGTATCCGACACCAGGCTGAAAAAACATCATGTACGTGAAACATTCGCCTGCTGGGTTGATTCAAATCACCTTCAGATTCAGATCATCAGGATAGACGACCTGATACACAACATTCATGGGAGGCTTCTGCTGGGGCTTGTAGAAACTCTGCTTCAAAGATTGGGGGCTACTTTTTACCAGAGTACCAGTTTCAGGATCATAAACGTCTATTAGTGTATTCGGATCGGCTGCGCTTGATACCAATTCATGGAAATTGTTAGCAGGCTGTAAAGGAGAGCCAATTAAACCCGGAAATCGCCGTTATTTACAAAAATACAAACCATTTTCAGGTTAAATGAGCCCTTTTTCAACATTTTCAGTAGGATTTAGGGCTCGCGCAATCAACATGAAATCTTTGATTAGAACTGGAAAATTGCTGTTCTAATGAATCTACATTAAATCATTAACATTATTTGGCCCCCAGACTTTGCACAAATTGGTAAATAAACAATTAGCTGCTATCGGCTGACACAACAATAGTCATAGGTAGATAACCCACGTACTCGCACTTTGTTGGACGCGCGCTACCCGGCTGCCATCTATGAATGCAAGTACACAGCTACATTTAAATCTTCTAGCGGGATTGCGTCCCTGTTACTTGTTTCCAGGGATTGAATCCTTTATCTATTATTATCTATTCTATTCTATCTATTATTATCTATCTGACTATTATCGGCGACCCATTACTTTAATTGGGATTAAGAGATGATTAATATTCAGTTTAATATATTTGCACAGTGGCAAGACTTATAACAAATATTAAATTGAAAATAAACATGCTCCTAATCTCAATTAAAGTTCTTCGACAGCCATTCGTGCACAGATCACCTCTGAGCATTGGTGTTTGGATCATAGAACAATGCTTATATTGTTTGGTTTGGATATGTTGATAATAAAAACTTCATAAGCATTTTCAAATTTGTATTGCTGTAAATAAATAGGTGTGTATTATAGTGTAAATACGTGTTTATTATAGAAACTACAAACCTTTGCTCAAGAAGCAAAATTATCATGTTAGAAATCAATAATTCATAAAATAAACAAATAATTCAAAGTAAGATAACAAATTAATTAATTAAGTGCAATTACCAATACCGATACGTATTTAGGGAGGTGTATGGATAATAATAAATGGAATGAGACGTGGAAAACGTGATAAAAAAAGTTACATCGTTGTATTGTAACATCCAAGTTCTTTTTTTTTACTTTTTTTTTACTTTTTTTTTACTTTTTTTTTACTTTTTTTTTACTTTTTTTTTACTTTTTTTTTACTTTTTTTTTACTTTTTTTTTACTTTTTTTTTACTTTTTTTTTACTTTTTTTTTACTTTTTTTTTACTTTTTTTTTACTTTTTTTTTACTTTTTTTTTACTTTTTTTTTACTTTTTTTTTACTTTTTTTTTACTTTTTTTTTACTTTTTTTTTACTACTAACCTTAGACGTGATCATTACTTCAACACATTACTTCATTTCCCTAGTGAGAAGTTACATTTCCCTCCCTAGGTGAATAATAATCGTAAAATAATAAATAATGAGATTTTTAAATTTTTCGTTAAGTTTGCCCACATCTTTAAGATCAAGTGAGATTCCATTCATTTCCACTTCTTGTATCTTTGAGATTCACTAATTTTCCACTTTTTCCAGAAGTTTTTCATAGAACTTTTATCTGTTTTCTGAAGACTGATCAATTATATTGCGACACTTTAGAAAATGAATGGGAAATTCAAAATCTAATTAAATGAATTTAGACAATTATAGGACATTATAATACGAGAATTACACAGCATTCAAGCATTCAGCACACAAGTTCAAGAAAACATATATCGCTCAATAATAAAAATTAAAACCGCACTTTACTCTCTGTCGTATCTTTAAGGGCGCAGTCACAGAACATCCCCCCAGGGGGCACATTTTGTGAGCTCAGTGGTCTAGAGACTTGCTACCTGTCTTAGCCCTACTTAGCCCTATGTCAGATTCGGCAGTTATAGGGCTCTCAAGGGGGGTTTACTTGTTTCTGCCGTGCCATTTTATTCAGGGCGTCCCAGCAGTCTTGGATCATATAGATTTCTATCTCTCCCTCTAGTCCATAGATGAAGACAAGTACTAGCTCTAGTCCTAGTCACAGAGAAAGTAAAATATTTATTTTACTTACCCTATGGTCCTAGTCAAGCTCTAGTCCACAAAATATCCCCCCTGGGGGATGTGTTCTGTGCTCTAGTCTTTCTGTGACTTCCTTATCTGACGCAAGCAATCTCGAGGATTGGATATAGTTCAGTCTGAAAGACTGTGGTCCAGCCCACAGACTATATATATATACAGGGTTGCTCATTAGTGCGTCAAAGTGCGATATCTCAGTAAATATGAACTTTGCAAGAAAATACGTCCTACGAAAGTTTTTCATGTTTAAAAGGTCCACATTTTAAAATTACTTTCCAATATACGGGGTGTATCATAAACGTGTGGTAGTTACCAACTTTGGTTTTTTAAATGGAACCGCCCCTTTTTTCATTCATTTTCAGATTT